GCTGGGGGGTGGGGTGAGGATAAGGGTAAAGAAACGAAAGCACAATGTGTGAAATATGGAACAGAAAAGTTAAAGAAACAGTTTGCTTTTTGCTTCAGTCATATGTAATCTTGCAGGCATTCTTAAAAATTCCCTTTTGGTTCTGTATTGAACCCTAAAGGTAATGTAGACACTGCTGAGAGCATACAGACTATTCAGGGCAGGAGATGCAGCTCCATCAGCCTGAGTACCCTCCAAAATCACTACAATGTAAATTAATCAATTTTGCAGCAACCTATATATTAAAGCAAAGTTATCCTGAAGCCTAGAATTTTATCAACAAGATCTTCAGCAGGTTATCCAGTCTCACTGAACATTTATTGTCTCTACTTAATATTATGTTTCCCCTGGTTTGACTTGCGTGCACGCAGGTCCTGCCACGCAAGCTGACGGCGGTATAGTAAGAGGACAGCGTGTGCAGCTTTTTCACTGTGTGATGTTCTCTGCCTAATCCGCTCTGGTCTGCAGCACAGAAATCACCCCACTGCCCAGTTAGGAGTTAGCAGCACCATGGAGCTCAGTTCAAGTACACAAAAACTTTCTGCCACAATCTCTATCGATGTAGCGTGACTTACTGTGCAGATGAGATCCAGGTGGATGGCTTCACATCCTAGCATCAGAGCAAACTGAAAGTGGTGGTCACAAGGCCACAGTCGAGGTCCTGCGCAGCAGCAGAGGAACCAGCCTGCCTGCGGAACTGAGGCCTGCCTAGCTGGTGAGGAGCTGATGGCTCACCAGGAAATCCCTAGCTCTGCAGTCCAATGTCTTCACCTTGAGAGCTGGGGCACCTGGATATTAGGATGCTCTTTTCTTCCCTGGGCCTGTCAAGTGGCAGCATCTTCACCCTTGCACTCTACGCCACACCACCAGAGCAGCCCTGTCAGAGGTATGCAATGCTCCATCAGCCAGCTATTGCAAGTGTCCTCCACAGAAAGGTGGCACAGAAGCATCCCAGGATCCAGTGCAAGATATCAGATCACAACACAGACACTAACCACACACATGGTGGCATTCTCAGGAGGCAATGGTGGGGTCTAAAACCAATGAGCAAAGCCACTACTAGGACAATAGGGTGGTCTATGAGCACAGAATACAATACAGAGCAGCCATGTGAGATTATCAAGAGGAATGTGCTTATATTTTCTTTTAGAACTCCCTGATGTACTGCCAGAGGCAGAGTGTAGGTGCTGAGGATTGGCAATGAGTGTTCTGGCTCTGGAAATGCTGCCATTAGCAGTTGTACAAGGGCAGCTATAACCTCACATGAGGACACAAGCATTCATCATCTCCTGTTCTGCCAATCCTTACTCACCCTCTTGTTCACTGTTTCTAGCACAAGCAGCACTGAGGAAAAATCTTTTATGCACCTGTTTCAACATCTTGGCATCCCCTTTATGTTCTCTCTCCCTCATCTAATTGACCCAGGAACAAAGAAGCTTCACAGGTAGAGGAGCAACAAGACCAGTAACTGCAGAGGACATACCGGAAAGCAAGCATTCTGCATTGAGTACAAGGACAAATGCAGTGATGTGGGGAAAGGACATGGGGAAAGGGCAAATGAACCAGGGAGCACACATCTTCCTCAAGGACTTAACATTTTCAGACCTCACCTCTCCCAGAAGCCCCGTGGGTTGTAGTTCTTTCGCTCCCGGCCCTGCAAAAGCATCCTCTTGAAAAATTACCATAAATACCCCAAAATAATTTTTCAGGACCATCAGCAAAAGTCTTGTTTGTCCATAAAGGGAGGAAAGTAATTTTGAGGAAGGGTTTTTGACCCTTCCAAGAAGTCATCAGAGAGTGAGTTACTCATTGCGTTGCCGGTAAGATTGCACAGAGCCTTCTCAAATCTTCCAAACACGGTTGTTTCAGGGGTCATGCTAAAAATGGGTTAGGGAATATGTAATTGCAGTGAAGCCCATGCAACACAGTATGCCCAATAAATTAAACTAGCATTGCTTGCAGGCATTGGGCTTTGCTGATTCTCATTCTCTGGTTAAATCAGGTTCAGGACCTTCACTCTGTGTAAGAAGTTAAGGAGAAAGTCAAATACCCCTCTTTCATGTCTGGAAAATCATAAAAGCTTTAAAAAGAAAAATACATGTTATTAAGTTGCTATTGAGAATGCAGACACACTGAGGTAGCGAAAAGCTAGTAAGGTAAAATATCTGTTCTGCTGAAGGCTGTACGTTTCAAAAGAAAAGGAGATTATCTGTCATTTTCAGATATATGTATATATATATTCATAAATATATATTCATAGCCAGGTTGAATGTGGCTTTGAGCAACCTAGTTTAGTGGAAGGTTCCTTGCCCATGGCAGGGGGTTGGAACTAGATGAGCTTTAAGGTCCATTCCAACCCAAACTATTTCTGTGATTCTGCATCTCCACTGAAAAAACAGAAAGGTTGCATTATTTGGGAGACTTCATAAAGCAAGGCTACTTTTGCACTCTTAAAGATAGAAAAAAATCAGTGTGTTAAAATGTAACACACAAACTAGAAAAAAGCCTGAATTCCCTTCAGAAGGCACATCTAGGTCTCAGAGTAACTGATTTGCTATTGTCCAAGTTAATAATTATTTAACTATTCTAAGTCTTCTCAACATACACTGCTTTAAAAGTTTAATCTAAAATAACCCACTTGCCTTTATCTATATACTTAAGAACTCATTCAACTTTTAGAGTAGGAAACAAAACAAACTGAGCCTCTTTACTTAAAATTTCCATGGGAAGAAGTACAAAAAAGTAGCTATGAGAAAGCTTGGCTTTACCTGAACATTTTCAGCAAATAGTTACAGAAAGGAGGTGTAAATTAGAAGTAGATAGAGGAGGTGGTTAGAAGGGCTGGGCTGTGGCAGACACCCTACCCTTCAGCTATCCACCGGTAGCTGTCTGTTCAACCAGCACAGCTCCACCTCAGGGTCATATTAACTGGACTCAAAGCAGTTGTCCCAAGAACGCTCAACTACACTTCACTGAAGATAAGGCACTCTTATGGCTCATCAGCTTCTTCAACATCATTAGTCCAACATAAGTGTTGATTGATTAAACTGGATAGAACTAACATTAAGTATTTTAGGGGCACACCCTTTACTTTTAAATCTGACTCTTAACCTATGTGTCCAGAAGGCACACGGCTCTTGATGATTAACTGCAAGCTTTATTCCAGTTTATTAAAGTACAGCCTTAATTTATTCTAACATCTAAGGCAGCTTTTTTTTTTACTTTTGTAACAATGTAACAATGAGCACAGTATTTTTAATTTATGAAGCTCAGATTTTACTACTACAGTAGTTTTAAAAGAAAGGTATACTTATAATTAAGTGCATAAGTCTTTCAAATAAAGACTTTTGAATTAAATGAATCCTTTAAGTATAACAAGGTGTCTTTTAGATAGTTAATTCAAACCTTTAACAGATATTACAGTAAAAAGAATGAGACACTTTCAGTCGCTTGAGCAAGCACTGTGACAACGTGTATTACCCTTCTGTGTATTTTTAAGTCAAACACCCATCTAGAACAAGAACAGTGAGTAATTTTGCCAGATATTTACAAAGTTTAGCAATTCGCTCAGGTGAGGTCAAACATAATAGATAATGGCTAATTTTAAAACAAACACCAGACACAACATGAGCTTCAAACTGGTATATTCTGAGTCCATTAATGTAAACATCAGTTCAAGACACATCTCATCAGAAGTCTGAGGTGCGTATGCACAACTGCACAACATGGCAATAGATTTTACTAAACTGTACCCACTTATGAAATCCCTAACACATACAACAAGCAGCAAACCAAGTCTGCTCTTTTTCCACCATCAAGTACAGTTTAGCTCTGTATGGTTAAAACTATAACTTCTCATCTGCATGTTACAATCATTTTTTAGGACTGTTGCTCTAAATCCCTATTCTACAATAACTATAGAAAATATCAAAAAAGTAAACACTTTCACCCAAACTGTCTTTTCTGTCACTTTAAATCAGGACACCCCACTTACTTACCTCCTGCCTCCACTGAGCAGGCAAAGCCTCCTGGTTTGCCAACATTTTGAAGTAACCGGGACAGCTTACCTTTAATAGTCTTGTCTGCTTTGCCTGTGCTTGGCATACTACTTTATTACTTAGCTCCAGACAGGTAGAGCAGCACATCTCTCCTATCATTCACCTGTTCCAGTTTTTTAGACAATGGCTTCATGGATTGAACTGCAATAGATTTTAAACACTTTCATTATACTCAGAGTCTACTCACTGAACTGTTTATCTTCCCACACTGCATCTTACTGAACCCCTTGCTCAGGAAGGAAGACATTACTCTTTGTAAAGTCTGCAGGCACCATTTTTCTTGTCTATAATAATACTTAGCTATTGATTTTGGTTTTGATCAAATGGATTTGGCAATGTCTGTACTCTGCCCTTACTGATGGCTGGAGTTGCTGAATTTTATTTCATTCAACTGAAAGCAGGATTATTCATCTGAGTATCTACTCAACATCTCTGTTCAACATATACATATGTTTTGGTGTCTTTAATTTAGTGGCAGCACCCAACTTCATTTACACATTGTCTGGGACAATTTAAAACCACAGTGCATAAATAATACTGAGCATGAGAAACTGGTAGAATGTCTGAGGTGCAAGCCGCTGAAGATGCTGAATTACAAAGTGGTCAGAAGAAATTTAAATGACAATAGCTTTGCAAAAGAAGAATGACAGGAGGACCTGGCAGATATCGCTGCACAAGAAACAGGATGGACACTATGTAGGGGTACAAAAAGTATAAAAGATATGAAAGCAGCTGCAAAATCTGTGAAGCCCGGAGGGAAACATGAACCTGAATGAGAGGCTCAGGCACATCAAGAGACTGGGAGACATACAGGGTGCAAGGAAATGTAGAAAGCAGTGCCAGAGTTGCTCCAGAACAGCATGTTTAGAAACAATGAGTAAAAAAATCACTGCAGTGAAAACATCAACCAACTGCTCCTTTTATTTGTTAACACACTATTTCAAAACAAAGTAAACATTACTTTCTAGAAATATATTTGCTGTCATATAACAGTAGGTAAAAAAATAGATATCTTAATTGCAAAGTCTCACAATGTAATTAGATGCCAACGTGCTGTCCAGTACACTTGAAGCATGTATAACTATGCCAAAAAACATGGTAATTTCATAGCTTCCTGTTGGCTTTGATGCAAAGTGAGGAAATAAATAGCAATAAACAGTTTCCTTGGTAACTTTCCCAGCTGGAAACCAGTGACTTCAGTTACAGATAAAATGACACTACAACTAAAGTACAGTAATAGGTCTCAGCAGTACAATCTTAACAAAAAAATCTGAAGGCAAGCAAAAGGATCAGTTCCACCTTAGTTGTAATATCATATTTTGGGATCGAACCAACTAATTTACATGGTTTTAATAATGTTATATTTAGGCCTTTTTACTTCCTTAGGCCTCTGCTGTATTTTGGCTTTTTATAGAGTTTTTTATTAAAAAGTTTATGTTCTATCACACAGACCTCATCATGGATATAGGAGGGCTGTATCCTCAGAAGAAAGGAGAATAAGCTTAGTACAAAATGGTAACTCTGGGGAAAGTCCTCTTCTCTGGAGTAATGAGCCAGATGACCACATGATCTGAAAAGAAAGGGAAAAAAAAAATAAAGCTCCTTAAATTACAAGTATATTTCGTTAGCATTTAGCTAGCATTTATATATTCCATTTTAATTAGAGGAAAACTCTACATTTTACCATCAGCATAAATCACAATTCAGTTTTCAACATCAGTTCTGTGGTGGGACCCACTCCTGCAAAACCCTGAAGGACAGGACCAGACCAAGACATGTTCAGAGATGGTACAAACACAGTAAGACGGAAAAGCCTGTATAGCTTCTTGCACTGTGAATCACTATCATAACCAATACATTCTTTGTCTTCCAGGACTAAATTGAACCACTGTTCATCCTACTAGCTTTTAGCAAATGTAGCAAAGCGTGAAAAATGATTACATTACCCTATTTTTAAAACCTGTAAGACTATCCAATGCAGACACCCCGGGCTCTGTTCTCTAGTCCTTGCCCACACCCTCTGTAGGGTCCTCTCTCCTCTTGCTGACACTACGCCATGGGTTTATAACCCATCATTTCTTGTCCATTTCCTTTGTGTCCTAAATGTAAGTTACCTGTCTAGAACAAGAAACTATGTTCAAGTCAATGGAGTAACATCGGAAATACTGGGGCAAACATTGACCAGGTCAACAGAAAGTGGTAAGTGCTATAGCAGCCTTCTGCTTAATTATATTGTAGCTTTCATGGTGAAAATGTTAATGAAAATGGTGAGGTGATTTTATTGATGAAGCATATAATGGTGATAGCAGACTGAACTTGCTGGTAAGAAGTGTCAGACTGAATAGATGATGACACAGAAGACAGACTGCAGGGAGAGTTCTGCGTTAAGTTCAGCAACTTAGGCTGGAAAAATATCCTGTGCTGGGTTAGCCTCAAATATGTTTTTAGTAAAAGTGGTAAGTTTAAAACAGTATAAAATTCAGTTGTTTCCATTTTTTAAACAGTCTTTTACATTGATATGGGGATTCAGTTGATATTCCCCATAAGTCTATGCATCTTCTAGCTTACTAGGTACTGTATTGCCCTGGGATGTGGAGAAGCAGGGTTTAAAATTTCCCCTCTGTCTGATTCAGAGCAGCGGTCTTAAATATTCACCAGAACAAGGACTGGAATCTGTCTGTCCCAATTTACAAGCAAGTGTGCTAATTACCAGACTATAGAGTCATTTGCTCGCTCCCTCTGGCCCAACACGCATTTACATTTTACCTCAAACTGGAGGAACAGACGGACCCATCCCGCAGTGCCATGCAAGCTGCACTTTGGGAACGGAGTCTTTGTTTGAAGCCTCCTGAAGTCTGGCAGATTGGAAATGTGAAACTAGGTCTCTCACGCTGTACATCCCATCCTCTGCCCTACCTCACAATTCCTGAAAGCTGCCAGCGACTTCTTACAGAAACTAAATTAGATGAGACATTTCAGCAGCATCAGAACAAACCAGCTGTCCCCACAACTCAATGCGTTGTTTAAATTCAAACTTCATTGAGAAATGTTGGGTTGAACCAAATCTGCCTTTTTTGGCTAATATGAATTAAGACATTTTGCTACACCCCTGAGATTCAGAAATTACAGCTCTTATGGCAATGTAGGTGTCAAATCTCAGTTTTCATTGGGGGGCAGATTAGTGATACCGTGTATTCTGAGGCAAATGCATAATTACACTGATATTGTAAAGCACTTACAAACTGGAGTTATACTTTTCACAAGAGTACCTAAACATTTCTGTCCCATTTTGTGCTATTTTTGTGCTATTTACACTAAGAGCATCTCTGAAGAGCTAAAAAAACCCCAAACCACCAGGTGATTTTAAATTTAGATGTAATAAGGGAAATCCATTTTTCTCAACATTTTCACACATTGTAATACCTAATCATATGTAGGCTCACTGAATTATTTAGGTTGGAAGAGACCTTTAAGATTGAGTCCAACCATAAAGCCTGGTATCACCTAAAGGCTTCTATATGAAATCAATTTAGAATCCAGTTTAAAGCTGAAAGTTTTAAAATACAAGCAAATGTAAAAGCATTTCACCAACCATTTGACTGATCTCAGGTTTGCCCACACTCAAATCATGCTTTAGCCCTAGGATTAAAGCATTTCAGTAGTCCCAGTTAGACCATGCTGATTTTTAAAGAAAGAGAATTTGTAAGTTTGTTTTTAGTTCTATTATACATACACACACTTGCAACCCTCATATTTAAGGGAGTAGATGTTGTTTTCCAAAGTTAAGTAAGTGTCAGATGTATAATTAACTACTTGCATTGCAAATGATATAATGGGAAATTTAACCGGTAAGAATTTTAATTCAAATCTTGTTTCATGAAGGCTATGACAGTTTGCCATTAACATTTTAATATATTACATATGAAAATGTAGGCTTAAAAACAGACTTTGCATGAAAGATTATTCACACAAACATACACTGAAATATCCACTCATTCACTGTGTGCATAAGATTTACGCAAATTTGTGGTAAAAGGATTATTACCTCTCCTCCCTTAAAAAAAAAAAAAAGTTCTTATTCATACAAAAGAATGAATCCATACAACTAAAGCTCTTGTAATATAACACTGTGCTTACATTATTCCAACCCATTTCTGTCACGGTGGATATGTGAAAGGTAATATGAAAAGGAAAATAAAGATACGCAAATAAATCCACTGACAGACAGAAAAGACTGCATAAATGTAAACCCAGTTATTTTCAAGGGGAATATTTAATGTTTTAAAAATCAGGAACGCACTGCTAAGACTGTAGGGGCTATTGCTCTCCTGAGCATGTCATTTAGAAGTATAAACAGATAAAGATTTAAGATGTTATTCAATGCATTAATGAAATCTCATTTCACATTAATGAAATTTGACCTCCTTTCCAGAAAACACCTTCCAACTGCATACATGAGAAATTCAGGAGAATCCAAGCCAAGTTCATCTCTCACCGATACTCACCGGTACATTCCTCGTCTGGATTAAAGGTTCATGATACAACAAATAGCAAACTGAAATCTGGTGCATGATCCAGAAGCCATACCTCCATTACCCAGGGAGTTCAGATAGTTCCTCTTCCCTGGAATAAATGCTGCTGAACTCCTACACTCACTCAGCAGGGCTTTTGCCCTCTGTCTCTGGCCATGGTCATAGAATCACAGAATGGTCTGGGTTGGAAGGGACCTTAAAGATCATCCAGTTCCAACACCTCTGCCATGCCACTAGACGAGGCTGCTCAAAGCCTCATCCACCTGGGCCTTGAACACTGCCAGGGATGGTTCTTTGCCAGCACCCCCTAAATAGAAAACTCACCAGTTTTCGCAGAATGAGAAGGTATTAAAGGAAGAGAAGTTCAACGCAATCCAGACAGATACTTAAATATCCATACAAGGCTGGATTAGCGGAGATATTATTCTCCTTTGAAGACAACAATTTTAGTAACAAATAGAATGACTGTTTTATATAACCTAATGGAAAACAAATGATCCCTTTCACTTGAGAAGGAAGGATTTGGGAACAGTTCTCTACTGGAGACAACACTAAACTTCCTTAATAGCACAAAATGGTTTATTTTCCCATGTTTCTTCTTTTACTTTTCCAGTGAAAGAAATTTCATCTTTTATTTTGTGCTTCCAAAAAATACAACTCTTGATTGCCGCTATGCTTAGATGAAATAGTGGCAAAATCCTTTTCACTCACAGTTACTTTTTAAAAGTATATTCTGAAAGCATTAATTGCTTATTTGAACTTTCATTTTTTTTATTAAGGCCATCACAACAGCAGCATAGTGATTTAGAAAGTTAATTTCCTATGCCTTTTTGGGGACCAGGGAGGAGAGGAATGGAGCCATTTTCCCATTCTCTAGAGGGTTGTGGCACAAGTTTTGTCTAAAATACTATGAAGAAAGAAGCAAAGTGAGTATTTGTATCTAGCTGCCAGTCTTGCCATGTGACTCTTGTTGCTGGTTTTGTTTCATCTCTCTTATCAAAAGTTTACTTTGATCACTCTTCATATTACAATTTGTCTACTCCCAATCCAAGACTAACCATTCCACACACAACCCTTTTACAAGTGATTTTAACTAGATGTGAATACATAAATAGCTGTGTACACACCGCGTATTTGTCATTTGTAAAAACTGCATACATGCCACTTTATTTTCAGGAGAACCTTCCAAAGTGTATGTAACAAAAATCTGAATACTTACTTCTCAGTGCATAGTTTAACTGTACACAGCCAATAGCCAGGGTTCATGGGTTTAAGTAAACCACATTTTTCTTGCAAAATTCCCTTCAGGCTATGCCCGTGAAAACAACTCCCATCTGTGTTTTCTTCTGACCAACTTAACTGAAAACTTGAAGGATTTGGCTTTTCAGGAGGTTGCACGGAACCAGACAGCTTGCCAAACTGATTTTGTAAGTTCACAGCCATTTCTGTACAAATACAAACAAACAGAAAAAAAAAAAACCACCAAGGCAAAAGTATTAAATATTAGAATACTGTTTAGGGGTGATTAATACATGTAGAAAATAGGGTATTTGTGCTTCCTTTTCTTCTTTTGATTTCTTTTTTTCTTTAAACCTTGAAAAACCTGTATGTTCTCTCCCCATTCCATTTAAAATTCAACTCTGTCACGTTTTCACTAAAGATTTTGAAAGATGATTCAAAATGCCATGTCTTTCACACATAATAATATTAAGACTGGGGCACTCCAAAAGCATTCCCCCAATTAAAACCTATAAAATCTAACTGATATTGTTGGTATTTTTATGCTGATAGGCACCAGGATGCCTTTTGCTATATTTAGTTGGTTGTATGCTATCTCTCAGACTGGCTAAGGTTGTTTAAGTAGTTTTCTGTGTATCAGAATTAAGGAAGCCTAGTTTCATATACATACAGATTTAAGGTTAAGCTTTTCATAGTGCAATTTTTAACTGCGAAAAAAAAACCAACCAAACAAACAAATGCAAAAAAACAAACCAAACAAAAAACAAAAGAAACCCCAATCAACCAAAAAACCAACACACCCCACCCCACCTTTCCCTGCTGCTTGTGAAAGAGTGACAAATTTTCCTAAATCACTGAGGCTAAGAAGGGAAAGAAGTTACTGTGGCGGTAAGGCACTGGAATGGGTTGCCCAGGGAGGTTGTGAATGCTCCATCCCTGGCAGTGTTCAAGGCCAGGTTGGACAGAGACTTGGGTGACCTGGTTTAGTGGGAGGTGTCCCTGCCCATGGCAGGGGGGTTGGAACTAGATGATCTTAAGGTCTTTTCCAACCCTAACTATTCTATGATTCTATGATTCTAAGTTATGATGACAGATCAGCACACACAGTATGTCTGCCTAAGCCTTGTTTCGCTAGGATAAAAAGCAGGTTAAAAACCACTGTTACTGGAACTTCAACTTCTTTTTATGACCTGTATCTGAATAAACTCATTGATAAACTGGAAAAATAAAATGGCAGAAAAGACATCCTAAAGTAATCCAAGACTGGTAAGCTTACCTTTCAAGAGGATACTAAAATCTACCACCAAAAACAAAGTCTAAGGAATGTTTCTGAAATCCTGTATCTGGCACATAAGTGTTCTTTCTAGAGCGCTCTTTGTTTCTATTATATGAAATTTGTTTTAAGATGAATCTTGCCCATTTACAATGGCATTACATGATAGTCCTGCTCGCAACAGCCAGTGGTAAAACTTCATAATCTAAGTGGTCCTCTTTTAGCTTGAAGAAAAGCAGAGCCAGAAGAGGAATCCAGAGGGCCACAGAAATTATGAACAATGAATCATTCAGTTTTTCTTCTAAATGCAGGAATTAAAGGGCATCTGGGCAAATGATCAGTTTGAAATAAACAAATCTAAACATGTTTTTCCATGGAACATGACTTGAAGTTGACGCTCACTGAATTTTGAAGAGCAAGAACATTCAAAAAAACCCCAACTGCATTCTTAAAAGAAAAATCCAACATGAGTTATTCAAACCAAACAGGATTACACAACTTATTTTGAAGTCCCTTAACAAGTCACTTCCAGAAAATGGAAGCATATAGAGGGATAAAGGGAAAAATACCATTTGCCACACTTAACATATCTCTCCCTAGATACCTGCTGCTTACTAGATACTGTTAAATATAGAATGAAGAATTTCGGAACTGATTTGGTTGAGTAAAATTCTGGTCTTCCATATTTCCACAGGTAAGTGGGGGTTTTGTCATTTTTTTCTGCTTGCTTTTATGCCAGTGTAAACCCCAGTAATTTCTTATAAGTACTTCTAGAGCTACTAAAATAAAGTAGACGTACTTGCATCCTCACCACATATCGCTAGCTATTAAAGTAAAGCCTTGTTCAGACAAGTCTTCCTCACTTCCTATAGAAGACTGCAAGAAGGAGAGGGAGAAAAGAGGAACATGCAAGATCTACCAAAGGACATCGTGGGATATCCATACTAAAGGATATGAGAAAGTAAAGAAAAGGGACGGGAAAGTTACAGGATAGCAATAACAATTCACAAAGCTCACAGCTATAAAAGGGCAGCTGACAAACCAGTGAAAATGGCAACAGGCTACTCATTTTGAGATGTGGTTCAGTAGGTCATTAGGAAGACTGGCAAAGGCAGTTTCAGTTAAGCATGAGGAAAAAGTCTGCTTTAAGAATTCCAGCCGCAGGTTGTAAAACAGAAGTACAGTAATTGTACCCAGAGGTGAAAGAGAAGAGAAAGTATTTTAAGATGTAAATGTTATCAGTCAGGGCTGCAGGTTCTCTATGGTGGGAAAAGTTAGAGCAGATTTCTGCACTGCTGGGAAGAAGCAAAATTTACTCACGTCTTCTCTTCAGAACTTTAGATTTCATCTCAGCTGAATAAAACAGTGGCTTTTCACATCTCCACAAACACCTACCAGTAAGAGACATAAGAACTGTTAAGAAAGCAAGTGGAGTAAATAAGTAAAAAAATAGCAATTTCTTAACAAATACTGCTAGAGCTATTAAATTTAAATCAAAATAATCTAATGGTTAGTGCCATTAAAAGCTGCCCCCCCCCCCCAGCACATCTAGAAAGTCTTTTCTTCAGAGTAGACAAACTGAGGTATGTTGATTGCTCAGCTGCATAAGCTACTTGTCACAGAAAGTAAGCATTTAATTAATATGCTGGATAAACACTATGAGTGTAAATAGAAATTTAAGATAGGGATTTAATCATGCTATTCACCCAAGCTTGGTGGATGGGAATGTGGAGCAAATTCCTAACCTTTTTAATTTCTGTGGGGGTCAGGATTTAATGTAGAACTCTATCTTAAAAAAAGTACTTAAAAACCTCTTACTTGGCTCTCTCTTCATCTAATTTCTTTTGCTTCTCATCCAAGGCACATTTTATCACCTTGTACCACTTTTTGAAGTCAAAATACAAGCCACCTGAATAAAACATACACATTTTATGTTGGGAAGGAGTGAAAGAAATGTGTAGTTCGCAGATGAAGGTCTCCAAGCAGTTAGACTGTGGGTTTTCCCAAACCTACCCTGAATTCGATGTGCTTAAAGAAAACATTCTTGATCTAACAATTCTGTAAGAAGCAGAAATGCAGTGAAAGAACAACCTATCATAAGAAGAGCAAAGAAGCACCTTAGCTTAGAATAGATATCATAGATTTAGTATAATTCAAGCCTTTTCCCTCCTTTCTGAAAATTAAGCCTAGAAACTCATTTCTACCAAATGAACATTTCTACCAAATGAACTAAACCTCCAGAGTGTGAAGTTGCCTTCACCTGTTTGAAGGCTGACTTCAAGAGATTAATGAAACTATACATCAAGCTTAGGTTTAAAGAAATAACATCTAAACAAGCTCAGATGTAAAATTTCCAAAATCATCTCTCCACTGTCTCTTCTACTATCGATGACACTGTACAGGGCTGGAAAGGTAAACTGGACAACTGTATTCATTTTGTGTCAGCCTCTCATGTTTTTGAGTACAGGAAAGTCACCCATTGATAGGTGAACAGTCACCAGTACATGCAAAACCATTAAGGCATATGGCATTCTAGCAGCACATTCATCATCGATGCTCCAAAGAGACACAGAGCTGAAGTAGACCAACTGGGTACAGTAAAAGAATTCCAAATAGAACTATGGTGCAGATTTATATATTTAAAATATATTCAACTCTTATTAACTGTGGGTGGATTATCTGCATTGTGAATTAACCGGGTTTTGCATTTCCCCATCACCCCAGCTGCACTGCATGTGATGCTTGCATCATGCTTAGCTTTGCCAGCAAGCTGTTGAAACTGTTTTAAAGGTGAATATACTCGTCTTATAATCAAGCTTATAGATGTTTTGTATTATCTGCATTTTTGCTATTTGGGTTATCCTGCCAAAGGATGTCTAAAATGCTAGAAGTATAGATGGACTAAAAAAATAACAGACAAATGAAGGGAAGAAAGACCCTTCAGTAGTTGTTAAAATTCAAAGGTGTGGATACAACTTTTTTTTATGAACTCCTTAAAACCAGAAGTTACAGTAAGTACTCTTCAAGTGCTGCAAGTGCAGTTTTTATCAAACTTCATATGAATTAGTAAGCATCTGTCTCAAACAAAACTATTATCAGGCATGATGCTGCACTATAACAACTGTTTGCCTGGCCAGTACTGCTAGTCTGATGTTCATAGAGCTGAGCTGAGTGGAAATTGAACAGCTCTGGGATACACACATACTTATATAGATCTCAATCACATGTTTTATTTGAACATAAACTGTACTGTGTATGCGTGGAGTTCATAGGACATACACAAACACACTAGGGAACTACAACTATCTACTGCACAGATTCCAGCCTGTCTTGAAAAACTGTAGGAGCTGAAATACTATTTTTTTTAATTAAAAAAAAAAACAAACCAAACCAAAAGACTAAAGAAGGGACAGTTAAATTGAGAATGGAGCCAACACAAATCGGATCTTTAAAACTCAGTATTAACCATTATTCGTTTCAGCACGCTAACTTTAGGAAAATGCCAGAGGCAGTTTTGAGCTCTGGCACTAACCACGACTCCAACAGAAATTCTCACCTCAGCTCCTCTGCGCAGGTGCTCACTATCACCCCAACTTTTTAAGGATAGGGACACATAACACAGCATATGGATCATTCTGCACCAGCAGACTTTAAAGTAAAAAAGTGGGCAAAGAATGAGCTGTTAATTCCCAAGGGCAACGAGACTTGTTATTAAAGGAGAAACCCCATTAAGACATTAATGGCTCTGAGCCTCAGCTTGTAAGCAGTTGCACAACTTTTACTCGTGTCACTGTTACGTGCTTCAAGTTTTCAAGGGAAATGAAAGGGGGGGGGAGGGAACAAAACCAAAATAAGTTGTGTATCTACTAAAAAATGAGAATTACCAGTTTTAGTTAACAGTGATGGCTACCTCCAGATACAGCAGTAACTGTGCTCATGCATGGCTAACACAACTTTTATTACCGACTTAAATTTTTAAAAGTGACAGAAGGGTCAAAGCGGACCCAAACCTAGATAAAAGGCTTAAAAGATAAACCACAGTAACACATCTTTGACCTTATCTTCAACTGTGATCTGGATCAGGCCACGGAACATCTTCCCGAGGATTCCTAATCTTTGATTTGGTCTTTCTGCCCTCCAAGAACTATGTTCGCACCATTATCTTCTCTATCTTAATTGCTGCTAGCTTTTCCACACTCTCTCAGGATTATTTGGACTAAGAAAATAGATTACATCTGAAATATGTTACACACTAAGACATTTTATTTAACAAGACTAAACAAGTTTGGATTTTATCATAAACATGGTTTGATGCCCCTAATAAGTATCTGCTATTTACGATCAAAGTGTGCTCCCTCTTTACTGCATATCCATTCATCTTCACCTAGCATGCATAAAATTCTAAAACAAGAGGCAAACATGCACAAGGAGAAGCAGAAAGGTACCGGGCAAAGTGTGTACCAAATGCCCCTATCAGTACAACAAGAATTATGCAGGTAAACTGGGGGGATTTTACATGAATAGGATCTACTGTTTTCTTTGAATAAAGATTTGCCCTAAAAGAATAAATGACAAATCCCCATTTTAATGATCAATAAGACAAGTCTTTCTAAGTCTGATTACAAATTTATTTCAGTTACAAAATCATAAGACTGATTCTACTAGAATATTTATGTACCTTCTTTGCTATTTTTATTTCTCTCTCCAGCAAAGTCTGAAAGTATCCTGGAAAAAAAAAAAAATCAGATCCAAATACTGCACTTTTCACATGAAGTTCAAATACAACTAACAAAAATCACATCCTAATTTTATTCCAAGCTTCAGATTCAAACTGATGATTTTTAAAAATAAGGAATATTTAATGCTAAAATGCCTTCAGGTGTATGTTTTATGCTACTGAACTTAATGGAAATTTAAATATTATAAACTTAATATTACTAAATAAATTAATATTACTAAGTAATATTACCAAAGAATGATCCGAGACAATCATCTGCACTACTTGAAATCTGGACTTTGCTATGGATTTGCCTGCACACTTACCATTCATACTTATCATTTAATAAAAACAATAATTTCAGCACAACTACAATAATTGCTGCAGCAAGAACATCGTATTTCACTTTTCTTGTTGACTTATTTCCAGGCGCAAGAGTTAGGAAATCCGTATCTCCAATACCAATCTTTTTCACCACTCGACAAGTCCAATTATGCAATTCATCTGATTCAAGTAAATAAAATCATAAAATTAGTAAGTTGAGATAAGATAGAAATACTTTTACAGTCCAAATATTTTGGTCATGTGAGGAAGGAATGTCTTTTTTAATGGTCTTTTAGGGCCATCAGACAACACTTTTTTAGGCTGAGAAGCATTTAGGGTATTTTTAAAAATACTGGTCAACCTTCATGTGTTTACATGGAAACCAGTTGCAATTTATTATACAGTCACGGGGGGGGGAATATCAAATATTTGATAGTGTTTTGATGTTACTCAAAAGATGTTGTTAGACCATCATGAACGGTCTTGGGGGGAAGCGTATCTTAAGTCTGCATAGATATAGTTTCAGAACACCACAAAAGCAAAAAACTTTTTCCTGCATGTTGACTAAACACTCAGATAAGGACGGATTCAGTACTGCAAAGAGGAAGAGGGGCTAGTTGGAAGGAAGCCAGTTGAGTATGCAGCAGCCTCATCATGGCAGGGTAGTACTTGCTGTTACCCCAACAAAACCTGTCTGAGTTACAAACAGTCCCAAACCTAGGTTAAAGCTGGCTTTACACTGTAGAGCCTAATCACACCCACTAGTGTGGGTTATGCTAAGAAGATACAAATACAGCTCCAAAAGCAGCAGTAAGGTGTCTATACAGTCTCTTATTACTCTATGCTTATTTTTCACAGATACAAATCCCCCAAATTTCTCACCATTCCTGTTCAGCAAGAAATACAGGAGTTGATTACATCACCATCAGATTCCACAAAGGTTAGCAATGTATGACTAAGTACAACCTTAATCCAGCTATACTTTATACTCTCTTGCTGCTTACAGAGAGTTCAGTAGGCACTCATTTTTAATCCTTTTGTACATAACAGTAAAAGTTAAACAAAATCTGGAAACCAATTTTTCTTATAAACACTGTCAGTATGTTTTCTTTCATTTCAGACACTTAAAATGGCCTTTTCATTAATATTTATTGTCCTAAGAAATACTGACAATTTATGGCTTGCTTTATTTTTTTAGGGGTTGGTAGACACCAACAATAGACCTTTTTCAATTTGTAAAAAAAATGCTTCTATATGATAAAAAGCTTAGGTGCAAGGAAAAAGTAAAGGACAATATATTCTTCTACAGTAATTTTGCAATAGCACTAGGTTTGGATTTTTCTGTAATAAATCTGAAAATGCAAATTTCCTAGCTTCTTCTTCTGATCAACTGATACTTCAAAATCTGAAAAATAATGTGATCTTCTTATGTGATCAGACCACTGGTGTAAAACTTCAAAATCAGAATTTCTACTATGGAATTTTAGCCCTAAATCTGTTGGTTATCTTCTCTTCATTCAACTGTAAATAAACAGAAAAGCCAGGTAGCTTTACTCAACATAACTAACTGCAAAATAAGACAATACCTCCCTCCCTGACTATTAATTTTTGAAATTCTTTGAGGGGGGAAAAAAGTAATGTCAATTTACAAGCTATTTCGCTGTATAACTCATCTTCAGTGACAGTGGTATTTGAAGTATGGTAGCTCAACAGACAGTTCACGTACTAGGACTTACTGGTCTTCCTTTGGCAATTCAACATTCAGGACAGTTTCAGGATAAACAAAATCATTCAATATTTATTCAGTATATGATTTCAAAACTAAATCAGAAATCAAGTGAGAGCTCAGTTGATCTGTCACATAGCATCGCTTGTTGATGTTTAAATGAATGGTAATATGCATTATTATAGAATATACAGTCAATATATATCAGACAATTCCAGTACTAAGCAATCAGGTCCCAACTTCATGAATCATTTGCTACAGTTAATAAATCACATGAATTCAACTAGTGCCTCTTAGTTCAAATGGATACTAAAAGATATGAAATGAAGTATTCAATCCACAGCCTTGGAGAGCCAGGACCAGAGTGCCCCTACATATCTGGGTCTATAATACATACTCTCAATGTTTGATGAAGGTGTTTACTATAGAAATTATCTTTCAGTTCAAGCTTATATGGGTATAAATTAGAAGGAAAAGAGCAGGCACTTTTAAAGTAGCAATTCAAGTCTTTTTGCTGGAGTTTAATAAACCAAAGAAAAATTTTATCAGTTCAGGTTTGGGAAAATATTTACCAGGTAAATTAGCTTCCATCAAGTACTTCATGCACAACATGTCTGGATGAAGAAAGCAGCTGTCTGTTATATCTGGAAAACGAGGCAGCTCTAAAAACACTGCAAGCTCAAGCATTTTGTTGTATACTTCTTCATACACAGGCCATGACTGAAAGAAAGGGTTAGAGGGTGTTATATATTTGCTATATTACCATATTTGTTAATGGTTTTAAATTAAGTTATTGATGATAAATTCTGTATTATTTAACACAAAATTATTTATACAGACTCTTTTAGCACTCTCTATGACTAAGCACTCATGCAGGAACAGAGCAAGACTGCAGTTCTGCAAAAGCAAAACGTGTGCTAGCATTAAAGCCCAGGAAGTAATAAGGAACAAACAGGAAGCTGCCTCAGACCAGCAACCAATCCCCTGTTTTTTTTTGTGATCGGTATGTCTCCAGATGCTCCAAAATTGAAAAACATTGGAAAAACAAAAAACAAAGACAACACCCAAGTGTAATTGGGGGTAAACTCTCTAAAGAGCTCAGTGATCACAGAACCACAAAAGGGTGGAAGTTGGCAGGGACTGCTTGAGGTCATCGAATCCAAGCCCCTGCTTGGGTCAGCCAGAGCAGGCTGCCCAGGACCATGTCCAGTTGGATTCCGTGTATCTCTGTGGATGGCAGCTCCACAAGGTCTGTAGAAAATCTGCTCCAGTGTTTCACCACCCTCACTGTACAAAAGAAAAAGGTTTTGTCTTTATGTTTAAATGGATTCTTGTATTTCAGTTTGTGCCCACTTCCTATCATCTTGTCACTGGATACCACTAAGGGGGATCTGGTTTTCCTCCTTTGCATTCTCCTGTACATATCACATAGTACCCCATGTGAATCTTCTCCATCTTCAGGCTAAACAGTCCCAGCTCTCTCAGCTTCCCCTCATTTGTCAGATGCTCTACTCCCTTAATCATCTTTATGGCCTTTTACTGGACTCACTCCACTATGTCCATATTGCCATTGTGCTGGGGAGCCCAGAAAGGGGCCCAGCATTCCAGATATGCCTCACCAGAACTGCGTAGAGAGAGGATCAGCTCCCTTGGGCCACTAATCACCTGCATAATGCAGCCCAGGATGATGCTGGTGGTCTTTGTCACAAGAGCACACTGCTGGCCCACAGTTCATCTTCACAGCATCTTGCTCACCAGAACTCCCAGGGCCTTCTCTGAAAAGCTGCTTTTCAGCCAGTCAGACCCTCAGCATCTGCTGGTGTCTGTGATTATTCTGCAGTGCATCTTTATATATTATCATATTTATCAACAAGAATGTGATCAATATGAGGCTGATGGGCCTGTAGCGCCTCAGATCCTCCTTCTTGCCCTTCTTGAAGACAGGGGTGATGTTTGCTTTCTTCCAGTCCTCAAGACACTCCCCCACTCATGACTTTTCAAAAATTATTGACAGCAGCCTTGTGATGACACCAGCCAGCTCCCTCAGCACTTGTGGCAGCATCCCACCATGGCCCATGAACCTCCAAATGTCTAGTTAGTTTATATATTCCCTAACCTGCTCCTTCTCCACAAAGGGTAACTCTGCCTTCCCCTAGACTTTCCCATCAGTTTTAAGGACCTGGGATTGTTGAAGGCTGCTCTTATCAAAGACTAAGACAAAAACCCATTCATCACCTTAGCCTTCTCCTTGGTCATTGTGACCATATCCCCATTCCCATTCAGCAGCAGGCTCACATTCTCTAGAACCTTTCATGGTTGAACATTTATTCATGACAATAAATCTGTGATTTTCTTTTCAAAACTATTGACTGCATGAAGAAAGTTCTCCCAATTTCTACTGAGATTTTCCTGCTAGAGGAGAATATCATTTGCAGACAGATTTTGACATGCTTATTCATAATGAACTCAGCTGGACCTGCAGTTTGCATAAGTATGGGCTGTAAGATTTGACCCTCATTTCTTAATACCTAAATTGTTTTATTAAACATTCTTAATTCTTGATATTTTAAATTATTACTTAATTTTCCCCTTATAGCAGTAACTTTCAGTTGTTCAGGCTACTTCACCATTTTCAATGTATAAAAAGTAATACTTTTTCTGCAGTAGTTGGTGGTTCTAATTCAGCAGAGCATATTATCATGTATTTATGTTTTATCAAGTCAGTTTGTGCATAAGGCATTTTGCTTTCATAGAATTTTAGCAGGGGTTTACACTTCGTACACAAGTTCAATACTTTCCTGAACAAGAGTGAATTCAGGCTTCTGTTCAGTTGGCTTTTTTTTTCTAGACCTGATTAAAACCAGAACAATCATGTTCACAACAACAAGAGGACTGAAATAATGTGGTTTTATTCATGCATTTGGTTTCATCTATTTTAATATGAGCTGTGTAGCCAGTGCTCAAGTTTTATTGGTTTGAATGATTCCCAGCATTTCCTTTTCTTTTTCTAAATGATCTCCCCTCAGACTGCAGTTCAGACTTGCTTAACTGTGTGAACACATGCTTAAGCAAATGAATAATTCTTCTGTCACTTACTATTACACATGCAACTGCTTGTAACAGTTAGGAAGTTGTATCATGTTCATTATATGTTGTTCTAAACAGTGTTTAAAATTGGCTCAGACTGCTCCAGGACTATCTTGAGAAACAAGAAAAACATGCATTACCAGACTTCTACAGAAGACGAGGCTCACAGTACTTTCCATTCCTCTTAAAAAGCAGTGCTGAATTGAATAACAAAACAATCCTGGAACAAAACCTGAATCATATGTAACTTCTCTTGAGCATATTTGGAGAAAAATTAAAGTCCCAGATGATTAAAACAAAAGCATTACATAAATACTATTCCTAATTAGATATAAAGGAAATATGTTTTTCCCTTTAATGAAAAGCAGTTGTATTAGTAGCTTCTCAATAATATATCACAGATGAAAATAAATTAAGACACTGGGAATTCAGTCATTTGAAGCATTCCCATTCTCAAATGTTAAACTATCACCAGTGAAGTTATCTGAACAGTCTAATTTAGCACAAAGTTACTTTAAGGAATATAGCACTTAATTGGGAACTCAAGGTAGACACCTACACCAACTTCCACCTGAGCTTCTCTCACTGTGTCAGGGTAAGTAGACAGCTTGCCCATCATAGGCACTAGTGAATCATCCTTTCCTCCTCATGCCCAGCCCTGACTGTTGTTTCAAAGCTTTGGTTTGGAATTTAGATAAGGCAAATACAGTTCTTTTTCAAACTGGCTAGAAAATGCTTCTGCTTTAAAATGACAACTGATGTATTTTTTTTATTTTTTTTTTTAATATAGAATCATAGAATGGTTTGGGCTGGAAGGAGCCCTAAAGCCAGTTGCAAACCCCCTGCCATAGGCAGGGATACCCTCTACTAGACCAGGATGCTCAAAGCCCTGTCCAACCTGGCCTTGAACACTGCCAGGGATGGGGCAGCCACAACCTCTTTTTGAAGAGCAAACACACATGGTCTAAAAACTACAAATAAAATACCAAAAGCTATCACTTGGCTTATTTTAAAAAAAGCGTTAACAGACAAAATCTGTTCTTCATTGATGCGTGTTTACACAAAGATGTAAACACAACTGGGATGAGCAGATCTAGGCAGGGGATACTAATCCACTATAACGATCCACCAAATCAATTGCTACTTTCCAGGACTTACCTCCCTAAGCTCAAAAACACTCTCTATAGTACTCATGTTTCTACAACACAGCGCTGAGTCATGACAATGCAAATTGAACCGAACACCACACTTCCAGGAGTATGCAGTAATCTCTTGAACTGTAAACTGCAAGCATCAGCTGGATCCAGCACAAGATCACATCTTGGTCAGACACACCATAGCAAAGGGCTGAAGACAGAAAGGATGAGGACTGAGGAGACTTACTTCAGTAATCAAGCACTGGTAATTTTCCCTAGTCACTACATAGCCTGCTCATACTTCTTTAATTCTGTGAGAACTGTGAGTTCACAGAGCAGATCTCTTAATTCTACAGTGTCACAGATGCTGGGAGGGTTAAAACAGAAGAACACTCAAATTCCCCACAACCAGCATAGCACATGTTAGCACAATATTAAGAAAAAGCAAGACACAGGCAAACAAGCAATCTCAAAATTAATAAAAATTATCACCTTCCACCCAGCTCTGGATCTCTGCCAAAAGAAAAGAACCTTATAAAACAAGTTGCATTGAAAGTCAAACAGCAAATCAACTAGGAAAGCAAGATCCACAGCTGCGGCCTCCCTCCTTCAGGTGAAAAACTCTGCCTCCAGCACCCCATGATTAAACCCCAGGGGAGGAGTACTTGGACAAGAGAGGAGAGTGTTAGATCATACACCACTTGCTCTCCAAGTATAACTTTCACTTATCCAATCATAAATTAAAAAATTCAAGTTGCCTTTCTGTACTAAATATTAGGACAACTCCCCTGTCCATCAGCACATAGTGTTACTGAGCTCTCACCTTGTTTTGAGAACCTGGGAAACACTCCGCATATAAAATTCAGTTACAAACCCTTGAGGGCACTTAATAATTTCAGGAAGACTGACAGAAAATCCTTTTAAAGTTCTGCCACCTGCTAGTCTTTTCAGATGTTTCGCAAGCTGGGATTTCTTCAAGCCTGATCAACAGCGCTGACAGAGTCTATAACTCCTCAGTAACCTCTGTACTCAATCTAGAGAATTTAGCAGCTTTGTCTTTAAAATCTTTGTATCTTATTCCCACGTGACAAATAAGGTCGCTGCAGGTCTTCTCCAGAAAGCTGTACAGAAGATCTGTACTACTTGAGAATACATTTTCCTTTTCCTCCCTTCCTCATCCCTGCCAACTTCAGCTGAACACAGAATGAAATACACACTGTTGAGTTGGTGAAGAAGTGTCTAGAACAAGATTTTTATTATGATAAATATTCATTAGACTATTTAAATTGGTTGCCTTTATCTTTCAAAGTTACACGGCATTTTTCACCTGTATGAGAAAAGAACAAGCTGGTTTTCAGAAGCAGATGAGCCAGACTATTAGCATGATAATCAGATCACAGTAACAGGTAATTGTTCTAGGTAAGCCACGACTGCAGCCTCTCCAACTTGTTTGGACAATATCAGAATGTTGCTGGTCAACAAGTAGAAAACACTATG